CAGTTGCATTTAAAAACAAATCAGGTGTATCTGGACCTGCATGTATGTTGTGAAACAGATACTGCCTAGTGAATTCTCCATACCTGCACAGTGGGGAAATGTAAGCAGAAGTATTGTAGTTGAATTATTTACAAATATGACTGAAGAGCTGTGTAACTGTATCTTTGAAGAAATGCCAAGTATGTAATTAAATTTGTAAATGTGTAAACAATCTCTACATCTGTGTTCTGATTTGCAGGTGTAAATGTTTTGACAAATCTGTAAATGCATACATAATATTAATGGCTGAAAAGCTCCAAGAGCTGGAAATACAGACAAGTCATCAGTTACAAATCAGACGGCCTTCTCCGTTGCCTGTCTTTTGCTATTTACAAATGTGAGTGCTCTACACATTGTCCTACTAGCTGGTACAATGATGCCAGCTAGTAGGACAACAGGGTGTCGGTGGCGACAAAAGCTGTATTAAGTTACTGCTAATCCAAACCGAACATTTGTTATTGCTGCAGCCTCACGTTAAAAGCATTTAACTGGAGGTACACAAATGGACTTTTAATATGTTGTCACAGGAAATTAACAGCCTTTGTCAGTGGGATTAACACTAACTAGCTTTTGTTCATCCGAAATGAATCTGCAAATGTCATTTTTGACATTTTTGACAGCAGATCAGTTTGAAATATTGCAGGCAGTAATGGAACAAGTATAATGGTTTTCGGTTTTAGTTTTGTGAGTTCCTATTTTATTTGAAAGTGTCCTTCCTTTGTGTGTCTTGAGTAACTTTGCTTTCTATCTTTGTGTGCCTTGTTGATTGTGTGCTAATGTGTTCCACCTGTGTCTAATCATCCTGCCTTCTCGTGTGCTTGGGTCAGTGTGCTTGTCTTTTGTTAGTTCGTCTTCATCTCCCATCAAGCATCCCCTTCTCTTTCCTCAATGATTTGTGTTTTTTGCTTATCTTTTCGATTACTTGAACTTTAGATTTTTGCCTGTGCCTGTTTTTTTTTTGATTATTTGCCTTAGGACTGCCTGCCTCACCGTTGGTGTAAGTGAGTTCCTCCTTTTTAAACAAATTACCTTCAACTGAACTTGCTTTGCCTGGTGTCCTGCATTTGGGTCCAAATCCCCTGTTCCCTGTTGCGACGCTGGAACTGAATTGTGACAACAAGAAGGAGCAGCTACAGTGAGCTGTTACACCAAGAGCTTTAGGCGACAGGCTGCTCACCTCCAACTTCTCAGTAAGGTAACAACTCCTTTGCTGCTCCCAGATCTCTGTGACCTGTAGCATTAAACTGCACTTGCTGTTACCACCAGTCACCACAGGTTTCTCCAAATCAACAAGGACTGAAATCACAAGAATTACAACTCCGCAATTGGATGTTTCATGACGAAATGCACCGTGGGAGTCGTAGTCAAGCTAGAGATCTTCCTGTAGGATTCCATTGTAGTCTGCCTTGCACTGGCACAAGTGCAGCCAGAACCACTACACTGCCCATTAATAGGTGCGTTTGACTTCATGCGGTGCTGCGCAGAGCTGACTTAACGTGATGCATGCTGGACTTAAAATAAGGCATGCTGTTTAGAAATTGTGCCGACTTTCGCCGGCGCTGCAAAACGTCACCATGTCACATGACATTAAAACCTCGTGGGAGCAAGGCAGCTGCAGGCACCCCGCCCCTGCAGTCACCTGCAGCTCACGTAAGACTGAGCTCAAGCTCCAAATCCACTGGATCATTTCCAATAATGCAACTTGACGGAATGTCTCATTAGACCATGCCATCAATATGACATCATCAGGGTTATTTTTTTGCAGAAGCTCTGACATTACACACATGATGGATAGTACTCCTCATGATTCAGTAGGTGTGTTTGAGATGATTGCGGCTGACTTTTGCCAACTTGATTGTCAGGGAGAGAGATATGGGACATGGAGACAAGATAAAAAAAGGCATCATTTTTAAACAAGCAGTAAGTTAATTAACACATACTCCCACCACACACACACAAAGACCTGTGCTTCCCCTCAAACACACATCTATTTTGTGCCTCTTAAGTGTTGTTTCCATGAATCGTTAGAGGCTGAAAGGCAAACTGAGGGATAAAAACAGTCCACTGAGTCGTACTCCTCTAGATGACTAGCTTTCAGTCAGAGGAGCTCTGGTAACGTCTGCTCAAGTGTTTACAGTGCAGATTCTCATCTGTTTGATCCCCAGCATCATCACACTGTTATAGTTTGATTATGTTCAACTAAGAAGATCCTTTTAAAGGCTTGAGGAATAATGGCACACAACTCAAAGATGCCATGGTTGGGTAGTTTTTTATCAGCCTATTTTTGGATTTCTTCTTTATAAACTAGGGAAATTGAGTGCCCTGTCAAAGATGGCATTTTTCCTGCTTTTATTTAGATTTTCTGCATAAATGGAAACTGTCATAGATATTATGCCACGAGAAGATCAAGGTTATGCATTTTAATAGAAGAAAGTTTTCATGGGATTTGAATTCTCTCTAATCTAGTTTCATAAAATTCAAACACATGCTTAAGGTTACTGAGAGTAAGCGACAGTATCTTCCGTGCTTATTTTTATATATATTATAAAATTTCCTTTTCTTCTATGTGAGACACAGAAAGGTGTGAAATACCAATAAGACTCAACAAACAAACAAAAAAAACAAAAAGCAATTCCACACCTGTGGAATTCATGTGCCGTCTTGCACCACAGATGCTGTTAAAATTGTCAGCGAATGCAGCACACAAGGGGGTAAGGGCAAAGAGTGGTAGCAGATACAGCAGAAGAAAAAAATCTATGTTCTTGAAATCCCTCATATCACATTTCATCAGCAGTCTACTTCATATGTTGAGCTGGAGAAAATGGAGAAAGTGGGTTTTTATGGCACACCCCTGTAGAGTAATCAGAAGCAATGGCTAAGCAGAAGTGACAGCAGCGGTTTGGGATTAGGGTCAGTAGCTGCACACAGCTCGCTGCTTAGAGCGGGAAAGGAAAGGGGGATGAAGGGGTGTGTGCCAGTGGGCAGGGGCCAGCTGGTGGGGGAGGGCCTCAAGGCCTGGGTTAAATCAGAAAGTTTCATTCCTGTACCTATCATAAATAACCATAGACTGTATAATAGAAGAGGACATAACCACTGTGATGTCACACATTGGTTTGTGGACTACTGTTTTGAAGCCTCAAGTTTGGCACATTGGTCGTCGCCATCTTGGTTATTTGGAAACAGAAGTGACCATATTTGGATGAGAGGGTGGAGCTGGGGAGGGAAACGCATTGCTACGCCTGATTGGTCTCCATGTAGTGACTTCTCAATCACAAGGTAGCCATACACTGCTTTATCATCTATTTTTCTCTAAATGGGAACATAATTTACAAAATGAACCTCATGCCATATTGAAGAAGACCTAAAACTAGCGATTGGAACCATAAAGTCATTAGGAAAGGGTACACCGAGGTAATAAATCAAGTAAGAATTAGGGTCATTATGTCATAGTTTTATACAATCAAAATTTCTAAATTCTTTTTGCAACCAGTGGAGTCGCCCCCTGCTGTTCATTAGAAAGAATGCAGGTTTAAGGCACTTCTGCATTGGCATCACTTTTCAGACCTGGAGGTTCTCGCTTGGAAATAGCACATCTGCAGCTAAGGCTGATTAACCATCCACTCGCCTGGAAAGGGAGGTGGTGTGCTTTCTGACTCATGTGCAGGACCACGTTAATTAGCAGGTGTCAGAGGACTTTTTATAAAGTGAAGATCATGACAGGACCCTATTTCACTCTGGACTCTTTGTGACCTTGTGCTCATTAACTGGGTGCTGCAATCAAATGTTAATACTCCTCTGAGGTTTTAGATAACGTTCGGCCTGTAATGCAGCCATAAATGCTAATATTTGGCTTACAGTGACACTCCTGATGGGTCTTAGTCCTTTTGCAATCAGTTTATTTTGGGACTGAAAAGGCACAAGTTCAAGCAAATGAAAGAGAGTAGACCACTCTAGATTAGAAACAGCCTTGGTATGCTTGGTATTCGATGCTTCTTCCTCTACCCTACTTAACCCACAATGTCTATTAGTCTTTATTTTTGTTATCTATTTTTTTATTAAATCAGGTTAGTCCCACCGTGGGCAAACACAGTTCCTAAGAAGAATAACCATCCACAGCAGTGTAATAGACAACATAGGACAAAATGAGGGAGATACAAACAGAAACATATAATATACACACGGGAACAACTAAAATTGCCTCTAAGGAGTGAACACAATCAAAGCCTTGAGTCTCAAATACATTTACCTGATATAACCTTAACAAGTACTTTAAATTCAGTATGTAGTTTTTCCATGCAGATGAGGCAGACTTTACTGTAAAAATAACAGCTGTCATCTGGTAGTCTAAAAAGTTCAGGTGTGATGTATGCCTTTTTAGCATCAAGAAATCATCACATCAGAGACATGGTGCAGAGAAACCATCCCCATGTCCTTAGTGAAACAATGATCAACACATACAACAAAGCTTATTAACGATTATCCACATGGTGACTATTTGCAGACCATTAATTCTGCGACTGACTGCAGGGGGCATTAACATGTAAACAAGTATGTATTGCTGGTGGAGCTAATTTGAACTGTTCTTTGTACTGTATGGGTAGTCAGATCAATAGCAAGAGATCATATGAACTGATAAGTTTTTCATGTAAAATTTTAAAAATAACTATAGCTGTCAAATGACGTTCAAGGTACATGTTTTTATCATTCTACAACACAAGGCTTTCAGGGCTCTATACGCTAACCTTTTCCCCAAGGAGTACACAGAGAATTTAGGAGCACAGTGACAAATGTTCAAGTAACAGAGTTTATTAACAAACCATTCATTTTATACATATCTCCTTGTGTGCAATTATGATATCAAAACCAGTGGAGGACTGGAAGGGAAGTACCCTATAACACTCGGCATTGGCCTTAAAATATTGACAAAGCTTTTTAAAACATTGCTCACTCATCACAATGATGAGAGAAAATACTCATCACAGAAAACTCTACTGTGATTGGTGCATTGCTGCATATGGAATTTGGGACCTGATACCCCAGGAGCACCTATGCATCTCATGCCACACTTTATGGAAACAAGATTAAAGAACAATATTTATAACAATGACCGTGAAATAGATGTAAAACAGAATGAGGAGAAGGTGTTGCTGTTAGGTGGAGGAGAGCTGGAAGGAGCACCTATCGACCATGGCACTGGTGCCTTTACAGCCCGTCCTCTGGCTGACCCACTGTCCTTCACAATAGTTTTCATCTGGACAGAAAATATGTACATAAAATTGCATCAGCCAAAAAGATCAAGTTTCTATTTGGGTTTCGGAATGAAGCTGTACAGTTGAATCCAATGATATTAGGTTACATAACAGGTCCCTCTGAGGGAATGGTAAGCGTCTGGGGTACATGGTTGCCAAAACACCACCCAAGACCACATACTGTATCTACTGCTTCTGAGATGCGAGATAGAGTGATCAAATCCATCACCTGTTTGATGGGTTATATATACAGTACATTATGCAGTTGACCACTTCCTAGGAGCAAAATCAATGTCATTTAGGCTATAAGAAAAGTCCCTCCCAACGCCTCCCTTCTTTGATGAAATCAACTGAAAATTATGTTTAAATTATTAAAATATTTTTCCCAGAAGCCGAGGTGATGTTTTCAAATTGCCACTAACTATCCTAAATCTAAACATATTCAATTTAAAATAATAGGAAACAAAGTCTCTCCGGGTGTTCTGGCTTCCTCCCACTCTCCAAAGACATGCAGCCTAGGTTAATTGTTTAATTGTGGCCCTGCGATGGACTGGCGACCTGTCCAGGGTGTACCACGCCTTTCGCCCGATGTCAGCTGGGATTGGCTCCAGCCAATTTGCTGTCAACTGAATAATAAATTAATCCATGCTTCAAGCACTATGATCATTTGTATTTCGCTGCATAGATGTATTTTAATAAGTTGTTTTTTCTTTAAATTTATTAGACCGTTTTTATAACCAGTGAAGAATTCTAATGTTACATTTCGATGCTCCTCCAGTAAATTGGTGGAAGACATGTCAAAGTGGGCTCTCAGATCACATTGATCAGAGCGATGTTTGAACATATGAATGTCGGAGACACACATAAAGGGTCCCACCGGAGCTAAAACACAGGAATTTAATGATGCATAGGTGCAGCGTGGGCCGCGTGGTGACTGTAAGAACTG